GAGACAAGGCTTTTGGGATCAAGGTTTGCTCGGATATACTGGGGAGGACAGGGAGGAGCAGCAGCACCTCCAGCGCTGGTGTTCCCAGCTGCGTGAGGAGCACGGTCCCTGCACCGAACATCTCCTTGAGCTGCTCCCAGGTCCCGTCTCAGAGAAAACCAGCTGCTTTGCACCAGAAGGAGCCTGAGGGCCAACTAATACACGTACAGCGTGGATGATTAGGGAACCGGGACCCAGGGGTGAAACTGGGGAGGGCAGGTCATTTAACAGCATAGGCACACTCATTACATTCCCAAAGGGAGCCACAGGACATTTTCTTATAATTGTTAAGTGCAGGGATACGGGAATATAACCAGGGATGCCACACCAACGACATCTTTCGTTAATAGTTGTTACTCACAGAACCCCTGCCCAAGACAGACAGCACAGCCTCAGGGGCGGCACGCTCACGGTCTTCTCCGCTCCCCAACTTTCCCTGGATACCTGCATCTTTTTACCAGGAACTCTTCCTCTTTACAGCTCTTCCACTGCTGGAGTCAAACAGAATAAACCGTGCTGCCAACAAGTTGAACCTGATGCTGTAGTCTATGAAGGTGAACAGTCCCTGAAGCTTCTGTTTAGATGGTGCACCGAAATTTTAGCCCATCTCACGACGCATGAGTTACAAAACAGAGCTTATGCGACATCTCTAAGGAACGATTTACTGATTTCGATGTGGTTCAAAACCAACCTTTAAGCAATTTTCCTTTCACGATTCATAGCCATTGTCCGGTTTGTGGTCATTCTGATTAAATCTGGCTAAGAATTAGGGGAAAGTTGGGCACCACACAGCCTGAGCTTTCAAGTCCCCCTTCAAAGAAAGGCCATCCATTTCCCTAGAATGTCAAGACATTTTTCAGGACTGATGCAGACACTTACTTGCATATTTATTTTAAGTCACGGTTACAGTCCTATTAAATTTGATGGTACTAGTCACTTAAATAAGCGTTGCAGATGTAGGTCCCTAGGCTATGAAGCAAAAGTAATTGGATTTATATGACAAGACATGCAAAAGAGCCAAGTTAAAACAGTCTATCACATTACAGTCACATCAATGGTGAAACTTTAACAGTGTATTTTTACAGCAGTAATAACTTTCCTGAAGGGGGAGGTGGTATCTTAAGCAGAAAATGTAAGTACCTTTTTATAAGAACATGTAAACCAATTTGTGTTATAGATAAGGTTGACCAGTGATAAAAATATATTTAGTTTTCTGAAACAAGGTAAAAAACCATGGCTACTCTCTAACCATCTGAGGGTAATCAGAATTGCATTGCTAACGCAAGTGAGCGGCGAGATTTTAATCTGCTTGGACACAAGTTAGCTAGTCAGCTAAAAATACTACCCACCGCATGTTTACTTACCGGCTGAGATCTCACAAAAATAGCAAGGGAAACCTCAGACTTCCGCACCTCAGGTCACAGGGGATCAGGCGCTTCGTGGGGGTTGGCTAAGGAAAATCACCTGGCTGCCCGGACTGTGTTCAGCGTGATAAAGCACTATATAATATCCCTGTAATGCCCAGACTGCCCGCTGCTCTTTCTGCTGCGCAAATGCACGTTTTGAACTGGATTCAATCTTGCCCTTGGTGGAACAGTTACCTCTGCAGTTCCAGCAACTGCTCCTAAGGGAGGAGACCGGCACCGCCGAGTGCTGAACCTCCTCCTGCTTCCTTTAAACTACAAAATGCAGAAGTGTTTTAGAACCCACTGGAGATATACGAGGTCATGCACTAACTACACAGTTGCAAAAAACTCCTTCTAAGATTTCATGATGGCCAAGCTAGGATTTGGGCATGAAATAGCCAACAGACCAAGAAGGTCTGCACTAGAACTGAACCACTGAAGTCAAAGATGCAGCAGAAATGCAAAAGAGACTGCGTAAAACACTACGAAGCTTTTTCCCGTAGTAATGGGTTTAGGGTATACCTCAAGCAAGCCAAAGGAAGAAGATGTACAAATACTGCCTTTGAAAAATTCATTACAACCCTTTCTGCCCCTTCAAAGTAATCCCCTTGCAGGTTTCTGAAGGTATTTACTAATAATTTTCATACAAGTGGTTTCCAGATATCAAAGAAGAAAACAAAAGTTTCATTTCTTCACTGAGGGTTCAGAGATAAAATAATTGCAACCCGAAATTCCAGAGACCAGGGAATTTGCCATCAGCACCGCTGGCAGGGTACTGCTCCAGAGCATCCTGCCCACCGACTTCGTGAAAATACTTCCAATTTCATGTGGGATTATTGCTCTTGCTCCCAAAGGGAGCCCATGCTTTCAGAGCATTTCTTTGCTATAAAAGAAACCCATGGGTTCTAAAGCCCATGTTCATAGCAGAGCAGGAGACAACTCAAGCTCTCAGACTGATGGCAGACGTGGAAAACGTGTACCTTTCACCTGAAGCTGTTAAAAAAAAAAAAAAAAATTTAGAAATGCTCTTTCAACAGCCTTTTTCCCTTCTAGCTGCCCTGGAGAGCAATTCATTAGCTGTCACAGCTTAATGGAGTCATAATATAATATCCTTACTAATTCCAAAGACAAGTACAGCTTTATTTCCTAAATATTTTATTTATTTATAATAGGTATAGCCACAGCAACTAGCAGCTCGGCTCCTGGACAGAATTTACATCAGAAGCCACAACTGCATCTCCGGACACAGTAAAGACAATCTTGATTATTTCTGAACTTAATCTGGATAGCTATCAGAAGAAATAAGACAATATGGGTGTTTTCTCCATACAAAACCTATAATATTTTTTACTTCAATGTTATCCACTATCCGGTACTAGTACATCCCATCCCTACACAGTTCCCAAAGGAGAGAGCAGCTCCAAATGTCTCGTACCTGAAACATACGCTGCCAAAAAGGGAATATTTCTGATTAAATCAAAACGTGTAAGTAACGTGACTGACAGGGAGAAGATTAGATTCGCAATGGAATTATCTTTTCTTCAGTAAAGCACATGCTTTCCACCATTTTTCTGTCTTTAGGTTATTTAGTGATACTTACATGATACTTTTCACCACAAAACAGAAAAAATTTGAAAAACCTCATTTTAATACACAATATTGTATAAGCAAATATTTTCCTTCCAAAACTTCTTTACTAAAATATTAACTGAATAAAAATGTGTTAATAAAAGCTACAGATAATGTGCAAATTTACCTATTTATTTTGCTAACATGTGCTCTCTTTGGTATGAATTATTCAATCGCTATCCTATTCCCCCATCATGTACGTTAATTTAATGAGCAAGCCAAGCAATAACAAGCCCTGAAAACTAAGCATAAAAGTGAAATCACAGAATATTTTTCTTTGTTTTGGAGAAACGTGTATCAACATATTGCAAAGTAGGGCCAGGATAATTTCTTTAGAATAATAAAAAGGTTGTTACAAATTCAGACCTGTAATTTCTTTCTTTAAGTTACTGCTATTACTAGCACACAAATGAGAGTGTGTCCTGGAAGGGAACACTTGCTCTAGGTATGATAGAAAGCCCAGACTCTAAAGATGTCCCCGTGCTACCGGGCTTAAACATAATATACTGAATATGAAAAAATAAAAAAAAAAAAAAAAAAAAAGAGATGTTTACAAGAAACTTCTTCAGGTGACTGAAAAATGTTTTGCAATTCAATTTTGAAATCCCTCAGACGCTACTGCATTCATCTTTGCAAAATGCTGCCTGAAAAACACAGTCAGTCTCTATCAGCTTCACTTTTCTCATTCATTCAAGCACACCTCACTGCAAAGCTTCCAAGGGAGGTCTTCAATGCATAAGCTAAGGATATCGTCCATTATACATTATTATACATGGCTTTCAACTTCTGCCTTGGCTCTGCCAGGGACACCAGTCCACACTGTCCTTTAGACAAATGTTTGCAACACAAAATCTGGAACTTGTTTTTAAACCAAACACCTACGAAGGTGCCAGAAAAGAGGTCTTCAAAACAGCTTTAAAAAAACCAAACCAAACACCTGACAGCTGGCATGCTGTGGAATTTATTAATCAGTCATCTCACTGCCCAGCTCTGCTCATCTGTCAATTTTCTGTAAGAACTACTGCTCTTCAACCCCTATTTGCAGTGCAAGTTCTCTGGAATCAGGCCTGTCTTTCATAAAAATGGGGAATACCCATTATATGGGCATGCCTCATTACAATTAATCAGCGGTTACAATAAACAAACAGCAATAACAGAGCAAAAAAATATGAGCGTTGGCATAGTCTTGCTTCTCCAGACAAGTAAGAGAATGAGAGGCTCTCGGTATGGGAAAGAAAACTGGATCACGGGTGGGCTGCGCCTTTCCAAGTCTCCCGTTCCGACAGAGTTGGATCTCACTGTCACAGCCCTACAAAACCCAGCAGACTGGGAGCGAGGTGGCTTTTGCTGGATGCAGATGTCTCGGGACACCTAAACTGTCACTTTCTACAAAGAAACCAGCCAGCATGACCAAGAACCTTCAACTTGATATCCAGGAGTATTTGATCACAGTATTCACCTGTATCCAAAGAGTACTACATAATAACTTCCACAACTGGAAGGGTGTGGGTTTTGGGGTTTTTTTTGCGTAACTTGAGCATTTTAAAGACTATTTTGAAGTATTTTGAACCACATTGAGTGCTCACTGTTTCCATTAAAACTGGAAGTTCACAATAGCAGGTCCATTAGTGTTGGACTACCAAAGCATACCTCAAGTTTTGATTATAGGTACTTCACTAACATATATCCACACCTGCAGGACACGCTGGCAGGGAAGAGGAGCCCCAAAAAGCTTACACAAAGCTTTACTAAAAGCAGCACAATTTTGTAGACTTGTAGAAAGATAGCGCTGAAGAACACGATTGAAAACCCAGCCTGAGGTGAAGCGAAACATCTGTATGAAGTCATCTAGCCTGAAAAATACAGGTTTGGAGGGGGGGTTCTCACGACTCACTCTTGCAAACTTCTGCCCTTCAAATATCTTACCTGATTACATGTGTTAATGTCTATGCCACTCTTCAGGTATTCCACTACTTTGTCCAGATTGCCAGCTCTGGCAGCTCGAAGGAAGCTTGCATTGCTGTCAGACTGTAAAAAGAAAAGAAGAAAACAAAAAAATCTCTGGTTAGCTCCTGCTTAAAAGAGAGCACAAGTCCATCACCAGTGAAAGGCTTCCGCATTTTATGCTGCGGGAGAATAGAACTGTGAAGAAAACTGACTTTGCATTATGGCTGCATTAATTAGCATGCACATACTTAAACGAGGCAATACCGGTACAAAGGAATGCAGACCTGTCAGAGGGAGTAAAATAGTGAGCTAATTGCTGAAGGTCAAAATTTAGCAAGAACCGAAGGAAAAACAAAAAACCAATCAGAAATCATAGTCACTGATGTTAGCAACGAGAAAAAAATATATGCACCAACTTGCCAGCCATCGTCTTCTGTGGTTTTTTATATTTTTATATATATATATATATATATATTATATACACACTCAAAACTCTGGAAAATTTATTTTTAATCTGGGGTTTAAAGGCTTTTTCTCTTTCCAAAAAAAAAAAAAAAAAAAAGTCCCACAAAAGCAGGAGGCACCGCAAGTGTAGCTAAGCATAGAACAAAGCGGATGAAGTGCTCAAGCTTGAGCACCTAAATCCAGGATAATGTTGTAAACATGCTCACTCCTAAAGTGCCTGCATTCATATGGTGGCGTTTAAAGCCCCATTAGCATTTATACGTTAGAAAATAAAGAAATAAATAAAATCATGTTTTCATTTTTCAGTCAGGTGGTGGGCTGGACCGCTAAGCAAGGGAGCGAGGAATGCGTTGCCCTCTTGCCTTCACCTACGAATACGACATAAAATTACATTGGCCATTTGAAACCAGCACGCGCGTTGGTGTTCACCCACAGGTAAATTGGCCACTAACGCAAGCGCGGAAATCGGGAGAAAAAAGAAAGTCGCACAACAGAAGTAACGATTAAACAGGATAAGCCTTTAGGAACGTGCAGAGACAGTAAGGATTTTCATACTTTAAATAAATAAAGAGAGTGAGTTTCAAAAAAGCAGATCAGTAACTGCAAAGGCCTGTTTTGTGGGGATGTGATTAGGGAGGGCACGCACGCTGCTGGGCTAGCACACGGCGTTCCACTGAAACACCTCCGACGGAGCACGTTTCTCATCTAATTTCACCTCCCTGCCAGAAATACCGGGTGAAAACCATTCTTCGGCATCATGAGAATATCCTAAAAGCCTCCCCCCTTTCAGCTTATTAACACTGATCGCCAAAGTGATTTCTTTCCATCACCCAATCCATTTCCACGCCTTTATTTCGGTCCCCCTACTTATCACGCTGTACTAACTCACTTCACAATCCCCGACTCCAACCTATTTTAATCTGCAACAGATGGATGTCATCAAAATGATGCTTCTTACAACTGCGCTACTTGCCAAGACAAAAATATTTCCTTTCAAATTCCTTTCGGCGAACTTCAGCACATTTTCCACATCTTTTACTGTTAAGAAAACAGACCGTCTTTCTAAACACGCCGCGGGGTGAAGGGGAAGGTAGCACGGGAATTCACGTTGACAGAACCCTTTTATAGCTTCGGGCTTCAGTCAGGCGAGCATTTGGCTGGGGCTTGACACGGGAGCAGATTCTGACAGGTACTTGAAAGAGATCCCTTTTCAGATCGGGGGATAGCTACTAGCACCGCACCGCCTCCTGTGAGGCCTATTTGCGCAATAAGGTCACAAAAGTAGAGTTTAATGTTTCGACGTCCTTGAAAAATCAACTGGCTTGGTAAAAACATCAACCAAGTATGTGAGCACATCAGGGGTAAAATCTGGATGCTCTTGAAATTAATGGGAAAAGCATGTTTGCCCTCGATAGGACACACATTTTACCTTCTTTTTCCCCATTTTTTTTTGCATGCTTTACTACTACTACAATAATTTACCATGCCAAAACTGCAATCATCTGGTTTTACACTTTTAAAAGGTTAAGCAAGAATGATGCCACAAACGAACATCCACAGCTTCTGCTTTAGCATGGATGAATCAATCATTACTTGTTTTTCTTGCACGCGGAGTAACACGAAAGGCTAAAAACATTGAAAGTCTCAATTGCTGCTGGAAGCTCAGACTAGATTCCATTCGCTTCTGGCTAAGAAGATGCAAGCAGCGCTCTCAAAACAGATTCTCATTTCCTTGATTCATACTCTTGTTATCTCAAAATTAAATTACTGCAATGCCCATCGCTTCCAGACACATCACGTACATCTGCAGACCGATCGCAATGCGGAATATGAACTTCTTGTCTCCATGAGGAGTTACTATGAATTAACTCTTCATCATTAACTCCCTGTAGAAGCACTTTTATTCCAGAAGCGTCTCTCGTCTTGATGCTTCGTTTAGGTGCCTCTGAACATCCTAGCATATGCGGTCCTTGGTTTTTTCATGAATTTTCGCATTGTAACACGTACTGATCTCATACTAGATGAATATGATTGTCCCCATCTCTTCACACTCCGGCCTCTCCTATTCCAACAGAGTTTCTCCCAGACTTGCACGATGTTCACATGTGTATCAAGCTTGAACACACAAGTAAAAGGCACGAAGCCGCAATTCATCCACTTCATATACAAACTCCCATACCAATACTGGTGAGTGCTTCCATGAAACAACTCCAAAGATTTGGCAGTGTGCTTTAAAGCTTAGAAATCCTACAAGTTAGAGGTACTCAGAGCTGTATTTTCTTTCCTGGTTTGTCAACTCCAATTTTTTGGTAGGGCATCAGTAGTTTGTCCTTTTCCCCATTATTTTAAAGGTCTTCAAAAAGCATTTTTGTCAGTACAGTAGTTTGTCAGTCTCAGCAATTTACTCACTTTAGCACGTTACCAATTCAAATCCATTTTGACAAAATTGGCTCCGTAGTCAACAGCAGCAGTTTCCTATGTTCTTACCGTGCTAGGAAACGCTGATTTTTGATCTCTGGGCTTTTCCAGTTGATTCGGTCATCTCATGAAATGTTTTGTTTCCTGCCATGCAGGATTTTTAGTTGAACTCATGATGCGTTTCAGCAGCAGAGACGCTGGCATATTGGTCTTTACTAGTTTGTCAACTGGTGAAGACAAACTGTCAACAAACTGTCATTTGAAGATACTTTCTTTACAAGAAGGATGATAAAAACATGGAGCCAGAGTCCTTTGCACCATATGATACTTACCACCTCATCTCTTCCTAGGCACACACCCCTGAGAAGTATTTTTTTAGGAGTTTCACACATGCATGCAGATCGTGCTCGAAAGCAAGCGGTCTACCAATAAGAAGAAGAAAGGTTTGCAAGAGAAGAGCGCGCCTTCAGCAGCTACTGGCAACTATGTGAACGTGAGAGGGTTGCGACGCGGGAAGCTCCAATGTCGACATGTTAATTTGCAAAGTCTCAGCTGGCACCTCTACATGCTGCCCACAGTTCAGGTCAGTCAGAATTAAAGATCCCTTCATTTACATGTGGCTGCTGAGGCTGGGCAACATCATGATTCAATCTGGACTATTTACTTGCAGTTCTACAGATACCAAATACCGATTGACAGAGAAGGACAACAGGCACTGATAAAAAAAAAAAAAAAAGCCAAAACCCAACAACTACCAACACATATGCAGTGAGAGAGTACTACAAGTCTTTGATAACTACTTTTTTAAAAAAAAAAACCTCAGTTTGCAATGCAATTGTAATAAATGCTATAGATTTGTGAAGAACATTTGGTGTTACTGAACCTTATAAAAAGCTCCTAACTTTTAATTTCACTTTTCTTCTTTAACTTTTGACTGAGGATAAATAATTTCAGCCAGAAATGAGAATTTTCAGAGCACTATGAACAAATAAACTACAATGTGAAAAAAAAAAACACTCTGACTTTGCGCACACTCATAGCAGAATGCAAACGTGTTCTTTAGAAGCGCTCAGTTGTCAGACACTGCCTAAGAAAATACAAGAAATGATAGAGTGAATATATCATTTTTTTAAAAATGACTGAGAGGCTGTGGATTCAACTTTCTTGCTAATTGCAATGACAGAATTTTGCCTGAATTTGAAACATATAAGCTCAGGGAATCTCAGTAATTAAATAATCTATGGAAATTAGTGTTTTATTCAAATAGTCAGAAACCTTCCCTTCTGGTTGCTCTGTCCTCGCTCTGGTTGCCTTTCCCGTCTCATAGCAGACCACATCGTGTATCGCACGTAGCATGCGCCGGGTTCTCAACGACATTTTCTAGAGATGTGCAAAAATAAATCGTGATGTGTAGTGTTGGAATCACATGCTGGACCCAACTCAGGAATTTCTCCACATATTCAAATTCACTGCTGCAAACTAGATTCATGCTTAAGAAGGAAAGATTGGGGGAGTAGGAGGCTTCAGTTTGCAAAACAGAGTTTTTATAATAACGTTATCCAAACCATCCAAATACTTGTTTGAAATCACATCTATAGTAAAATTATACCTGTAGGTTGGCTTCCCCCCCTCCGCTCCTCCAGATAAAGTGAATGATCCCAGCCTGTCCCTAAGCACCAATATCTCTGTGGGAGAAGGGAGCCCAGCAACAAGGCCTACTGGACAGTTCTCATCTGTTAAATGCCGTTCATTAATTGAATGACAGCAAAGACAGAATGCAAAACTGCTGTAAAATAACCACGTAGTATTTTTGTACCTTAATGTAACATTTTGGGCTTGTATGTGTATCAAAAAGCGTGTATCTGAATACTACTAGCCCTTTTAAACTTACCTTTCAAGCACTGACTCTGGGACATCCTGCTTTGATTTTACGGAGAAAATTTATTGAGCTGCAAGTTCTGAAGGGGCTGGCCCTGACCAGGAGGTGAGAAGACCTGCTAGGAACTTGTATGCTTTATAGAAAGCAAGAAACTCAAATAATCAGCAGTTATGAAAACTTGCGTGTTAAATTGAATCCTGTATTATTATTGCACATAAAGTCAGCATGAAGCCAGAATTTGTCTACACGGCCCAGTCTTTGGGGTTACCTGACAGTGCTAAAGCCATTTACAAACTTGAGAGTTGCAAGGCAGTGTCTG